AAGAATGAGTGTCCTGGTCCAGTAAGCTGCTGGTGGAAGCTATCAATATGGTACCAACTGCTGTGTGTTGCCTTTTTATAAGAATGCGTGGCTAGCCAATCAAAACATTCGCTAAATATACAGAAGGCGGGCATAGAGGAAACAATATTGTGAGACACAGTAATGAAAGCAGTGGTATGCTGAATGACATTATCGTATGTTTATCTGATCCTGTCAACGGATCAAACATCAAAATTGCCACCGAGAGATTCGGGCCGAGGAATACGTCGCATGACTGTGTAGATTTTTGCTCGCGGTGCCAGCAATGAAGCTATGACATCACTCAAGTTTGCGCTGGAAAATGTAGAGCTTGACTGAAAATTACTTTGATTATCCTGGTTCGAATTCTTCGGTTGTCATTTCGGAACAGGGTCTTAAAATAAGAACATCTCGTTGCCAAATCTCTAAATGAACGCTTGTAGATAGGTAAACGATGGAACATCCTCGTTTCTAAGCCTAATCCAGTGTTTCTTAATCTTTATCTCGTCCGCATCACCGAAAAAATTATAAATTGTTCACTCTGTATCTCGCATCCACTACAGTGAATAGCTGTTGTAGTGTGGTGCGTAAATCGAGGAATTTCGAGGACCCCATCCCCTAATCCCCGTCCCCGGCTTTTCTCGAGCCGATCACATTTTCGGGGCCGCGACTGTAAACTTTCTTCCCTACTTTTCACCGTCCCCGCACCACCCTAGTCTACAGTATAGATAAGTGTATACCAGTACAGTACATTCTAGTAAATTTGAAAACACATTCCTGGAAGTTCATCTTTGCTTTCTTTACACAGTTGTATGCGTTGGAAACCGTGCTTGCCTACTTTGATGTATTTACAATGAAACGTTGTCTCGCACCGCCTGGAAAACTATCTCGAGGAGTTATAGCAACACTGGTTTTCCTAATTAAGGATCGGCACTCCGTTTCATACTGCTAATAAATAAGTATTTGACTGCTAAAGATGCATTGCCAATTATATACAATTCAGAGCAACATTAACAATTCCACTGCAATACATTCGCAATTTCTGTAATGCATCCGTAATGTTGCGGTTTTTCACAAACGTAAAATCGTACGTTGTAAATATTATGAGATTATAAAATAGGATTAAGTGTCATGTGTTTAGGCAACAGAAAATGTGATAGCGGCTCCGAACATGGGATGGTGTTTATGGTAATTTTGAATGATCAAATTGCGCCGAAGCAATCAGTAAGCCGATAATACGACATATATTATACAATTGCTCTTCTCGCTTAATCGAATTTGATCTCAATCAATATCATGCTATACGATTGGATTGGGATTTGGATTCCGAGCCATCAAAAATAATTCTCAAATTTCTGGTGCAAACGGTTGTTCAGTGCAACCATTGCTGAGCATATTGCAGAGAGAAGAGGTAAAATTCCACTGAATTCTTGCGAATTCGTTTTTGTAGCGATTTTCATCACGGTTGTTGCTGTCGAATGCTCGTATTTGTAACGCTCTTCACTAACTGATTTTCAACAAGATGTCAATGCGTTGTGCAAATGCAAAATGATCATCTCAGCTCTCCGCATACGCCAAACCTAAGAACATTAAGGGTTCACCTTATTTTCCGATCGATATCAAAATTATGCGGTCAACGAAATTCTTTTTCTGCAGCATCATTATGTAAAATATTCCTGGTTACAAACGTGAAAATGAGAATACAGCAAAGAAACTTGTGAAGAAAAGAGTTGCACATTCTGAAGCTGCTCAGGAAGGTGACCCGAATTTGGACCAACAATGAATTCAGAAAAGAAAACCTTGACCTTAAAAGCAGTGCCCTATTATCAATCCGAAACGACTATATATACGGCGTTTGGAACTTCAACTTACAATGCATTTGGCCTAATAGCAATTGATGTGTTGAAGTGCTCAATTAAGTAAAGGTTCAGAAGGCAAATGTCAACGTCAACGTTGGACCTTGGATTGCATCAAGCCACAGATCAGGGCTTTCACAAGGATTTCACTTATTGTCCACACACTCATTTGAATCATTACTTAAATAACATGAATTACGAGAGTGTTGGTTCAGTCAATTGCAGTCGATGAATTTAACGCTCCTTAAGGACCGATTCATCGTCATGCAATATATCAAGTCATCCGAAAAGTTTTGAATTTTAGAATATCTCCAGTCTCCTTCAACGATTACCCTCAGTTAAACTCGTTTATCAGCACAAGCGGCTGCGAGTATTATCCGAATGAGGAGTGTTATCATTCCATTTTGCTTGAAGTGATAAAAAATGCTGAACACACAAACAAGCCATTTTATTCATCAATAAACACTCTTACAACAGTGTGAAGGAAAAAAACAACCAAATGTACCGCTGAAGCGCAAAATTCCGTGAAAATATTATGTGATCCCGATGAGAAGATATCAAGCAACGTTGTTGAGTAAACATAACGCACAATATTACTGAATAATAAAAGGGGTGGAAGAATGCTGAACACATAAACTAAACATTTACTTAATTGATCTCCTGAACAATTAAGTAACTTCCGTAAGTGGTCAGTATTTCTATATTTGAAACCAACTCATTTTATAGAACTTTTCAATTTCTACAAAATGTGCCTAGTCTCATAGCTCAAACATTGCTCCTTCACCCTGAAATTTGGTACTACATAAATGTGTCTTTCATTTTTGCCTAACATTTTCTACTTTAAGACCGGTCAAGTTTTTTGTACTGGACGTATCTCAGAATATGATAGTTCATATGATAGAGAATTTTATTTTCTACAGTATGGTTGCAGTTTCTTTAATCAGTTCGCAATGAATCACCCTCAAAACGGTACTTTTCTGATATACCATCGGTATAAATTTTGCTCATTCAAGAGCTCATTAACTCGTTAACCTGCGATTGCGCATGCTCTTCGCTGACTCCGCCTCTGCGCTCAGACGTGTTTTTATGGCGAAGTGCGATGATGCTCTTCATATACCGAGAGTCTCCTTCCGGTCATTCTATGGCTTAATGAAAACAAACTTCAACGAGCCAACAATCTTTTAGCCAGTGGTGCTTGAAAGCAGTTATGATTCGAAACCAAAATGATGATGATATCATTCGAATCTGATTCTAGTTGTTGTTGAAAGCCATATTTGTTTCACTGATTCCATGAAAGTGTCACAAAGTGTTTGGAAGGCAAATTACAAGAACAGTTAATTTTTGCATCGAAAATTTCGTATGGTCATGTCAGTACACTTATGCAAAGTTTTTTCTGGTACTATTTTCTCATTGAAATTTCAGTGCTCAATGCCGTCATCACTGCTTGATGTTGCTGGTGGAGTGGCCAAATTGAATACCGGTTTCGCGTTACCGTTGATTGGCTTAGGTACGTACAAGGTGACTGGTCAAGAAACGGTTACGAACGTCATCGATGCAGCACTCAGAGCTGGCTATCGAATGTTCGATACGGCCAAATACTATCATAATGAACCCGAGATTGGTAACGCTTTGCAGGTAATGCAACAACTGAATGCTACAAAAATTCGTTTTTCATGCAAGTTTTGATATCAATAGGATGATTGATAATTTTAGCACATCTTCAAAGTTTGTCTGGTTTTAGTCATTTATTTGATCGGCTTGGTGGCTTGATTTGCCAATGTCGATGCAGAAGAGCTTCATTCTTCCAGTTTCCAAAATCCTTCCATAGTTTCATTACCTAAGTGATGTAAGTTCGGCTAGAACATTCGTTTCTTTGTATGCCTTTCTAGCCATTAGCAGATGTATAAATAGAATTTTTCGTGATGGATGATTCCATCATTTAAGGAACTACTCCCAAAATATGGTTTGAAACGAGAGGATATTTTTATAACGACGAAATTCTTTCCAAGTGCATCGAACAATACGGAGTTCGCTAGGAAGATGGTTGAACAGTCACTGAATGATCTCAAAACCAGGTACACTATTCTCGAAGAAATTCACTGCAGCAGTTGTTCATTTTTTCGTTCATCCAGCACAAACAAAGGTTGTGCTGAATGAAATTCTATTTTCCAGCTATTTGGATTTGATGTTGATTCATTATCCGAGATCAAGTGATCGCGCTGATGATGATCCATTGAATGCGGAATGCCGTCGTGATGCATACATCGAATTGGAAAAGATCAAAGGTTTCGCCAACTCAACAATCCCTGTCTTCGGACTATTTTCTGAAATGCAGTTTCGAAAGAATTGTTTCATTATCACTGAATAGCTTTCACCAATGATAGATTAGTCAGTTACGTCAGTTCAAATTTTAAACATCATATCAAGTTGTTAGCACTCGATGAAATTCATCCTCCTTCCCACCTAAGTGCGTTGTTCAATGTGATTTCATAAATCAGCTTTGTAATATAGCGTGCACCAAATTTTTGATTCACTTAAGTTTTAGATGAAGGTACCATACGATCAGTTGGTGTGTCGAACTATGAAATAAATCACATCGAAGAAATTAAAAAATTTGGTAAAATGATGCCCGCAGTAAATCAAGTAGAATTTCATCCACATTTCACGCGGAAACCATTGCATGATTATTGTGATAAGGAAGGCATTTTCTTTCAGGTTCTTGATTATTCAATTGTTTTCATCCTTTGATTATATAAGCTTCATTTTATGTTTAAAACAAATTATATTTCCTTTTTGAGACACACGTTGTTGTTTAGCCAAATGTTCTCAGTCAGTCATATTCATAGTCAAATAGAGACATGGCTTCATAAATTTTCTTAGAATCCCTCGTATATTCTTGAGGCATTAGAAATGTTCAGAAGTATGCATCCTGTTCCATTGTGAAATCGATCAAACTGAGCAATTGATTTCTGCGTTGTATTTTCATCATTCCAGGCATATTCCTCGTTAGGACGTAATCATGAGGATTTGATTGGTGATAAGGTTATCAAGAAAATCGCTGAAAAGCATAATACCTCTCCACAGGTGAGTTATCTATCGCCTGATTTGACCCACTCTTTTCATTTATAAACGATCTCGTGATTCCGTCAGTTTTCTTCATTATTTTAACTCTCTTTTCCCACATCCACTCAAATCGTGGTTGAATAAGTTTTCTTTTATGCTGCATTTGCTAGGATCCAATCGCTTGTGTTTGTGTTCGCTTGTTTTGTTGCTTTCCATATGTTCTGCGTTATGCCTATGGGGAATTTTAAGTGAATGGATGTGAAGAAAAATACTGATTTGAAGCAAAGCAAAATTCAGATGATTCTACTCGCATGGCCACATTGCACCGGTGTTGGTATTGTACCGAAATCAGCGAATCCTTCAAGAGTTGTCGATAATTTCAAGGTTGACTTTTGTTCTTAACAACACTCACCTCCGTGGGTTTTATTGAGAAAGGAAAACAATGGATATCAGATATTAGAGACTATAGCGTAAAGATTTGAGGGAGTCAAGTCAATGGAGCCATATGATGCTCATCTAAGTGATGTTACCGTGACCCTAATGTGTAGTTATGAAGTCCATCTTTGCTTCGCACCATTTTCATCGCAAATTTGAAAATGATTACACTTCAAAGTGATTGTTCATTATGGATAGGTGTGTAATTATTTTGCTGTTTTCAGGCGATCGACATAAAACTGAATGAAGAAGAATTGAAGGAAATAAGTGCGCTGAATCGCGATAAACATTACATTCGCTGTGAAGGATGGAAAGTCTTATGATCACTGTTTCCATTCTTATAGAAATCAATTGATTATAATTAGGAAAAATGCCTGTTTTCAAGAAATACGGACTAAATTGTAAGTCGTATTCTCATTTTGCATTGTCGCATTCAATTTACAATATTCTGTGTGTTGTGTTTAAAATTTTACTTGCAAATATTTTCAGTGATTCATACAAAATTGAGTTTGAAACTTGTCAAATTGCATAATTATACCAAACTGATTGTTAGGATTTGACGTTATTGTTGAAGCTAATGATAAATAAATCTGGGGTACCTTTGTGATTAGAGCGAGTGAAATTTTAAGATAACTTTACTTTGCTGCTTTCTCCCTCTTCTGTTTAGAGCCATGATCACTTCATTCACTTTGTCTGATTTATGAGTGAATAATCTGAGTTTCTCAATATAAATTGGATCAAATTGATTGAAAAAATAGTCAAAAATAAGAACAAAACCTAGCGATCCACTCAATATAATATTTATCATTAGTTGTTGCTAGTCGAAGACGACATTTCATTCATAAAATCGCTGTTCTATCCTCAGATATAGCTGCACTGTTATTTGTCATTTTGTCATAGTTTCAATTTCTAACAGTTGTATTCGTTTGAATTGATTTCTTTATTTTCAGTTTCTCAATCTGTGCATAATGCTTCACTTAATATCTCAGTTTTGACTAATGTTTAAAGCAAAACGGAGCAAATCAAAATTAGTATCTTTGTATTCAGCTGCTTTGCTTTCTAACGGGAATTCTGTGATTGTCAAAGAATTGTTTTCGATGTGATGATGACGTGTTGAAATGCCGACTTAATCTTGTATTCTTAATACCAGATGCGATTGGTTTATGATTAATAAAAGCTGAGAATGAGTATTAGTGAACAAGCATACAATTGCACAAGCAAAGTTGTACGAAACAGGTTAAGTCGAGAACAGTGCGAAAACTTTGATTACATGACCAGGCTAGTGAATAAATGATTATACAAACGAAGAACTCTGCTACGGTCGTGTTAGATGGAGCCTTTGTAACTGCTGTCGGTTTATATGAAGTCATGGAGCGATATGTATAAGAGCGCGGTATGGAACCTTCAAGAAGGCATTAAAGCATTGTATCTGATGGAGTTAGAGGTGATTGCACGCTTAATTACCGGTCCAAGATATGAGTAGTCTTATGAATAGACAGGTTTCAAACCGTGCAGATTCACTCGTAATATGGTCATGGAAGAACCACTTCCGAGTTGAGCGCCAAGGAGATGAGAGGATGATGTAACGAAAAACTTGGAAAGAAAACAAGATCAAAGCAGAATTATTGCATATAAAAACGTTAACACTATTCAATGGTCGGATGGATTCATGCGATATGGTGGTGATAGTTGTAGTTCGAGGAGAATTGATATTGACGTGAGGAAGAGTATTGACTGTGAGCATTAATGACGCATGACGGTTTTATAGCCATCTGGTAATGTTCGATATATTATTTGATTTACAAACGAATTCGAAGTGTGCATGAATAGATGGCATATTAAATGAGAGTTTGAAAAAGCATTCGCTTGAGAGTGTATTCTCAGAAAAGCAATCACGATGATCGTTCATGAAAATTCAGTGAATCATCGTATTATGTGCTTTTCATTTCTGGACAAATTAATATTCACCACCGAACACATAATGCGCTTATGACCGCTTTGATCGTTCCCAAGAAGTCGTTCGATCTGTTATGATTGCTCAATAGCTCCATTCCATTTGTCAGTTTGGTTAGACCATTTGATAATTGTGAACAATTGGAACGTTGATTGTTCAAGTGCAGATATCAGTGAACTAAGCAGTGAGCTCGACTGTGATGTTATTTTGGATCATAATTATATTGCTACATCACTTATCACGTGTCACACCTACGACCACTGAATTTTGCTTGAAAGTCCGTGAAGTGAAACGAATAGACGTTAGCTTGAATTCACTTGATAAACCAATTGGAATTTTGCTCAATTCAACTGCGACAGTCGGCTTATACGCTTCATTCTGTGAATCAAAGCAAGGCAAGGCGATCTACGTGGGCCATGGATCAGCAACACTGAAGCTGTCACCGTTTGATCTCTTTCAACTAATGGAAACAACCAAGTGTGAAGGCAGCATTGATCCTTTCTACATACTTTCGGATCAGCAATCAAAAAGGTTACCTATGAACTATTGCTGAAATGAACTCGGTTCGATTCCGTGGAATAGATTGCTGATTGAATTTGAAAAAAAAAAGAAGATACCATTAAATTTTGAAAAGTTTTTCCCTCATAACACTCCAATGCAGCCTTTGATCTCAACATGATCTCGCTATCTTAGCTATGACCGCACGCTTTTGGAATGAAGCAAATTTTCAGTTTGAGTATGGCGTCCATATATCCATTCCTTCGGTGTTCCACTAGAACCTTTCAGTGCATTCCAAAGTTTCCGACTAGAAACTTCACACGTTTCCATGCAAAATTGCAAGCACGAGCCACATTATCAGTACCATTTTGGACATTTGAACCAGCAGATGATGGTATCATTGTGCTCAATGAAGTGGACAATGAACTAGCCGTTTAGTCTCATGTGCCATTTCAGTTTCTATTTGACAGTCATCGGCAAATCAACTCCTTTCTCGAATGTGAGCGTTGCGATAGGTTCCTACAAAACTGATCAATTAGAAGAACGTGTGAAGCGATCGAAGAAAGCGGTGTCAAATAATGATTTTGAGTTCAATAGAAGCGCAACAATTGTGGAAAGACAATTCACTTTACAAACAAGTGATCAAGATTTGTATTTGAACGTAACATTGAATGATTACAGTGAAATTACTGTTGAGGTATGTGGATCATTTACAAAATTCTCAGACTGACAGACGTTACATCCTTGAACGGACGCATAACTTTTATGCTAAGGCTTTTTGTGATAAACATCTCGGAGTATTGGTTTGCACTGGGCATAACTGACTTTTATGTTGGTAGTTGTTTTTTGATATCGCTTAGAGTACGCAAAACAAAATCACTCATCATTCGAGACCGGAACTTATGTTACAGGTTCGTTTATCAGCATGTTATGTTAATAAGGGTGAAATTATCCATATAATAACAGCAAATAATGATTCGTTATCGTCTTCGATCTTTTTGAATTCGTCAGAAGTGGTTGAGTTGATTGAAGCAACGAAATGTGAGAATGATAGGGACTCTATTCATGATGATTCTCTCAGTGTGGCTACACATTTATATCTTCGACTGATACCATCGAATTACGATCAACCCAACTCTGGCCATATTCAAGTTATGAACGGTGACAGTGAGTTTTCAATTATGTTCACGTCCATCTTAGGTTTTAAATTCCATTTAAGGTTCTAATTGTGCCATACCGGGCCAAAGAGAGCATTTTAGTGAACCAAATGCAGATTTTGTACAATCTGTGCAAGAACCAAATAACATTCAAAATGTGTTGACATAGAACGTGAGTTTGAAGGAAATGTTAATGTGCCCTTACTTGATTGATCAATATATATATATATATATAATGACCAACTTAATTGAATATGAATTCAGTGCAACCAATAGTAATCACTGTAGTTGATGAACTCAAAAATATGGCCATAGCAGAAGGAAAAATAATGATAATGAAACGAAGATTCTGGAATGTTACTCGAGATGAAACGAAAAATTTGACTGGAACAATAACGAATGTTAGCAAGGATGTTAAATTATACGTGATTGTACAGTAAGTTTATCACAGACTCCTTTCGCCGTTCTATTTAAAGCGTAAGCACATTTCGTGATCATTCATCTTTTTGAAGTCACAACCTGAGGCTCTGATTTTTAAACGATAGGTTTATCGTGATGTCGATTGCCATGCTTGTTTTACAAGCGATACAAAGTGAACGGTTAATCAGTATTGTTGGTTGTCCATTTTCAAATAAAAATTTCCCAAAAATTTACTGCTTAATTCTGTTTGCAGTGATGGAAATTTTGAAGTGACGACTTCATTGTGTGACTCATCAATAACACTAGATCACCATGAGTTTGCGATAGGAAAGCATGAGCAGACAATTACAAGCAAGCAACTACAGAACGCATTTAACAAAGTAATTTGTTTGAAACTAAGTCGTTTTAATAAGTGGTTCATTATATTTGATCAATATCATCATATTAATTTCATTAAAGATTGAAATTTTCAGAGCAGTTGCTCCAGAAAACTCAAAAAGCGTTCGCCTGAATTGACTCCTTCAAAGGGTTCGTCATCATATCCATTGAAAGTATCCATAACAGGCAAATCCATGACAAATTCGGCGAGTGTTTATTGTTTAAGCGAAAGTGAGGAACCGTTGAGGGTTGAAATGAATAAGAATGAAAACGACAACTCAAAGTCGTCATTTTGGGATTCAGTCAGCGTTTGGCATTATATTTGTGCTGGTCTAGTGATATTCATCGTGACGGCAATCTTAGTTGCGATTCTGTTTTGTTTGTTTCGTTGTTTTCATGTGGAGAACATTGTGATACATGATCCAAATGGAACGATTGATGCATATGGGAAATTAGGTGAACGACCAATTCAACTGCAACCAATACGCAAATCGCGGATTTGAGACGATCTCGTTTGATGGTGTTTTTTAAGGAAATCATTGTCTTCGTCATTTTTGCAGAAAAATTTTATGTTTTTTTCGAAAATATTTACTGATAATGGATCCATTCTGTTGCAGCCGTTAACGATCATATTTTCCATTCAATGTCAATAAAGACCTATGAGATAT